AATAAATGAATGCTGTCATACTCAATCCAATGTCCAACTCCATGTAGGTTTCACCTTGCTTTTCTATGGAGGCCCAGAAAAATTTCCCCACAGAAATTTTAGGTAATCATTTGCACCATTATTCCTTTCATTTAAGAACAACAGGGGATTAAACAATTCAGCAATGTTTCAGTGCTTAAATTCAATCAGATACTGTAAAACTAAATTATAGGTCTGTTTCATTACCTTCTCATTTAATTGTATGTCAGCTTCAGGCAGAAGCAACAAATTCTTTGTGCTGTGCCAGCACCCAGTGACCCCACAACCCGAGGAATTGGTACCCAAGGGTTGGTAGAAGCTCCTCTTCAGAGCTGAGGTCATGATACATGAAATAATGAGTGGTAGTCAGAAATGGAGGCTGAGATCACCCAGCTGGGAATCTCCTGCTTTAGCAAGTGTTCCACACCTCTTCTTTCCCAGCATCACACACAAGCTGCTCTGTCTGAATACCTCTCCTTCATCATATATAGGTCGAGTTCTTAGAAAATAGAGCTTTAGTTGTAATTAGTTAGGTTGTTCACAGAGGTGCCTCATCTGCATTTGGCAAAGGAAAGAATGATTTGCATTCCCTCCCACCCTTAAATACAGGTGAAAGTGCACGACACCCTCCTTAAAAAAAAAAAAGTCCTGTCTGCAGGATAGCTTTTCTGATGTATTAATAAGTCAGCTTGTGCTGTTTACCAAGATTTAATAGTTACAGGCAAATCAAAGCCTTTTTCTGCTCTATCCTAGGCACACACCTTACCTTCAAAGTCAAAACTCAGAAAGTGAGTACCTCAAAACTGAGCATGCCTTCACCTAATCACTACAAAATAAACATGTTCTAGGAAAGACACAAACATGCATGCTCCTCTCTGTTAATTCTTTATAGGTTTGCCCTCTTTTTGTCCTGTCTTCTCTAGCCTGCTCCTTTCTTATATTCCCATATTTCTGTCTCATTATCACTGCTCATCACCTTCACGAAGATATTAATAAATATGGATTATTGCATGCTTTTAACATGCAGAGGTTTGGGGATTTTTATTATTGTGGAGAAAATCACTGTCTTTTCAGTGTTATTTCATTGACCAAGCACAGGCCAGTTTCCATAGGTACATTAAAAGATATCTCTCCTTATTCCAAATTTTGAACATGGAGAAAAATAGATACAATTGAAAAGATGTTTTTTTTGTTTGGTGGGGCTTTTTAAAGATGATCAAAGCAATTTTCCCTTGCTCTTCTCTTATAAAAGTGGAACTGGTGAAAGTGTATATAAATATTCATCTGAGACTCCCTCTAAGCATAAAAAATTTGATCCTGAGGTGTCAAAGCCAGGCAACTCCAGAATAGCAAACATAACAAAGGCTAGGGCAGTCTCAACAACAGGTTATAGCTCAATACATTTTTTGAATGAACAGACATTCAAAAGTCTTCACAAAAAGAAAAAAGACATTCAAATGCCTTTAAAGAAACAGCTAAAAGCCAAGGAATCACCTACCCTGTATCCAGTGCCCACACACCCCAACAGGGAAGGTTGGGAGAGAAGTAGAAAACAATTCTTTCATGAACTGGAGGGAGAGAGGGGAAAAAAGGAAAAACCAAACTAAAAATAATGAAAATTAGAAAAAAAAAATAAAATTAGAAAAATATATTAAAAAAACCCCAAAAACAGAGGGAACCTTCTGTGCTCCCTGTCCTTATACCCATACAGAAAAGAGAAGTAGGCCCCCCCTTGCAGAACTGTCCCATGAGCCCATACCCACAATCCAAGTGAATCCACCTGAAAATTAATTCTGTGCTACTTAGGATGGAAAGAGAGGCATGGAAAATGGGATGGAGCAGGACCAGAGAGCACAGACTTCATGGCCACTTCATAAAACCACTCTGCTGTGTCAAGTCCCCATCAAGCACCTGCCCTGAAGGTCCTCACGGTGACATTTGGGTTTTGCCTTTTCCCTTTTACATGTTCTCTGTATCCTTTGCACATATATTTATAGATCTGTCACTTATTGGATACGTAGCTAGTTTTCCCAGTAATTTTCCATGGCCTTTCCTAAGGGGAAAGACAAAACAAATTCCAGAGCTCCAAGCCCTGGGAGGCAGAAGAAGTTCCCAGGGAGGCAGAAGAAGTTCCCAGGTTCTTCCTGGGAGCCAAGGCTGAGAACAACTCTTTGAGATACATTCTCATGGACAAAGGACAACCAGTGCTCAAGGGGGGCTCCAGAGAATGGGCTTGACCTGGGGAGAATTGCATCATCACTTGTCCTTTTAACTCCTGTTTTTTAATCAATTATGCTAATTTCCTAAAACCTATAAAAATGTACTCACTCCTGGGGGCGTGAGGTTTTGTGGACATCTTTCCACAACTGCTCCTGAAGGCCTTCATTAAAAATCCCATTTCATATTACCTCCTTACTAAAATTATCCCAGGTTTCATTTCCAGGCTGGGAAAAAGGCAACACTCCAGCCTGACATTTGGAAAGTCTCCCCTTCCCTGCGGCTGCCACAGGGATGTCTCAGACCTTGCCTATGCCCAGCTCCCCTTCCCAAATGATCAAATGGCTGCTCAAGCAGCAGATGGCACACACTCCACAGGGTTTTACATCAGTGACTGCCAGGAGACAGCTGGTAATCCTTGTGCTGTGCCAAAGTCCGTGTTATGCAGAAGACAATGAGATTAGCTCCTGAGGCAGGCTGGCAGTGGCCAGCGCAGAGCTGTCACACACCCCACGCCTTTTGGAGCAGGGAACATCTCCTCACCCCTCTGGCACTATTTACCTCTGAATTTGAACATGGGTATAAAGCTTTCAATGCCACGTGGTGCAGGAAATCTTCAGGACAGCAGAGGTGCTGTAGGCAGAGGGAGCTGCTGGAGCAGGGACAGGTGTGAGGACAGGGGCTGCAGCAGCACTATAAATGTGGCAACTTGCAAATCACCACAGTTTGGGTTTGGGACAGTAATAACATGGGCTCTTAGGTGGTCACACCTAATTCCAGGAGGAAATCCAGAGCACCTCTCTCTGCCTGCCACCTTAGTCATGCTCTGGAGGGTGATATGTTGGAAAATTGAAAAATGAAGAAGAAAGGCATCCTCCTCGGACAAAATAAACCTTGTGTATCATAAGATTTCTTTGCATGCTGACTTCAACTCTGGGCACAAAAAAAACCTGCTCGTTTCATCCTGACCAGCTTTTGAAATGCATTTCTGGATGAGCTCTCCCAAGCTGCCTTGGGCAAATTGAAAACCTGGAGTTTTAATGGGCTTGTCGAATTCAGGTCTTTCAGGTCCCTTTGAAAAAACAATTGTTAAAGAGGCTAAAAGAACCTCCAATAAACCAGAACTGAGCCTTGGCACTTTATAAAATTTAAGGGTTGCTCTTTGGATTTGCATAATCTGCAAATAAACTAGCAGCAAACCCACACAAATTATATTTGAGAAAAACAAGTTTAGAAGTTTAGTCCTACTCAAAACAAATTTCTGAGACAGAAAAAAAAAGAAAAAAAAGAAAAAAAAAAGGAAAGAAAAGGAAACCGTTTAATCAGAGCAAATACTCCTGTAGTTTTGCAGTTCATTTGTGCTTCCATGGAAGGTGGAAAACAAGTTATAGCTGCTCTTGCCAGCAGGGAGCAGCTCCAGCAAAGCATTATCCCGGTTTCCCAGCAGGATGAGGCTGCTGCAGCTGCATTTGGTGTGTGCACATCTGCTGGCACACCCAGAGTTCTGTCCCAGTGGCAAGGATTATTCCAGGTTGGGCTACACAAAATGCAAGCAGCTGAGCCCCGAGCTCTGCAGGGGAGAAGGAGCAATGAGAGCTCTGCCCATCAGAGCCGGCAGCTCACAAGGATTTACAAGAATTGATTTGTTCCAACAAATGAACCGTCCAACAGCAGGCAGAAACAAACAAACAGCTAACTGAAAACCACCCCAAATCCTACAATACCAAAAAATAAACCCCAAAAACACCATTGTAAGAAAGATACAAAGCCAGAGGAGCAGAGCTTGGTTTCAGTCCTCTGGCTAGTCTGGGGTCGGTACCTCAAGGTGGAGAAAAGTAAAAAAAACCAGCCTAGTTGTTAAAATCAGAGTAAAGAATAGGGGGGCAGGGGGAACCAAACCGGCTTGTGGCCAAAGTGAGATTAATTTTCCATTTATTTCCAAGGCTGGTTTGTTTCACTTAACTTCAGAGATCTACAGTGAAGATGCCAGCAGCTGGGCCTGGCGCCTCAGACTCTCTTTATAATCAATAATGAGAAATAAGTACTTGAGGGCCCAATTGTCTGATCCATTTTTAGACTACATTCTTTTTCCCCCCCAGATGAGTTGAATTGGAACAAAAAAGTGCTTATTTTCTCTGTTGGGAGCAAAACAAATCCAGAACAACCAGGTCAGACATAACAGGCCTATATACATATTTTCTCACTGAAAGTTCCCTCCTCGGAGCTCTGAAAAGCCATTACCATTTCTTTGAACAATTAACATCACTGGTTGAGAGGCAACCCAGCCACATGCTCATCAAATGCCCCTCCATCTCACTAGAATTAAAAAAGCATCTTCAGAAAGGTACTCCAAAGAATAAAACTTTTTTCCAACACTCTCAAGCCATTTTCATCACCACCCACCCACAATACTTTTACACCTCTCACACACTGGTTTAAAATATGAATGATTCCTAGCAAACCAGAAAAGCTTCATGCTTTAATTGCAATAAAAATCCATTTTAATTATGTGACCACCTGTTGAGAGAATAAGTTAACTGATGAGAACTGTATAAGCCAAGAACAATAAATCAAGCTGACTGATTGAGTAAAGCTGAGAGAATTAGCCTCTAAGTATTTTATTTAATCCTTCAATAGAAGCATCTCATGTACATATCAATAGTGAAAATTGTGAGAGAACAACAGGAAGAACTTAATTTTCTCAAGGGTTAAACTCTCAGGCTTAGATTATGTTCTGAATATAAAGGGTTCAATACTCCAAAATCTTAAAGATTGCTGGTTTCAAAGCTGTATTTATTTGATGTCTTGCAGAACTAAGTCATAATTGCTCTTAGATGAGCATACTGGTCACTGAGAAGAAAAGTTTCTTCATTCACGATGTTTCGTTAAATACATTAATTTCTATCTCAGCATAAGATGATAAACCTGTGGGAATAGTTTAATCCATCTCAGTTAATCACACCAAAATTACAACCCTTTTTCTATTCATGTTTCGAGGCAGTATTTATTTTAATCACAGTAGCACCTAGCACACATGGCCCCTCATGTGCTGACATTGTGAACACTCATATTTTGAAGAGAGTGCTTAAAGAATCTTTAGCTTTATTACTTAAAGAATCATGCTTTAGAGGCAGCCAAGTCATGGAAGGGTCAGTGAACCATTCAAAAGGATTCTCATATTGAAAAGTCAAGGGCAAGGAGACAGTGATACACCACTTGGTGTACAGTTTTGACTTTCTAAGAGCAGTAGGACACCTGTTACAAATGTGAACAAACACTGCTCAGCACTGATTTATTATTCTGTAGACAAACAGAAAAAGTATTTTAAACACTGAATAAATGTTAACAATGCCTGAAAGGAGGGCATTATATCCCTACAGTGATCACTGTCACAGAATCCCAGAATCACTAAGGTTGGAAAAGGCCTCCGAGGTCATTGAGCTCAGCCTCTGGCAGATCACCACCACATCAACCAGCCCACAGCACTAGGTGAGATTTCCTCTTGTTCCTTCAGCCCTTCTAGGGCTGGCAAATTTGTCACCTCCCTGGGCCATTCATTCCAGTATTTAACATCCCTTTTAATGAAAATATTATTCCTTCTATCCAGCCTGAGCTTCCCCTGGCACAGATTTGGGCTGTGTCCCTAGCCTGTCTGTCCTAAGTCACTGCAGTATTGCTTCCAAACTTAGAGACTGTGCAAGCAGAAAAAAACAGCCCAGGCCAGGTGTCCTGTAAGGGGGGATGTGTTTTGAACTCCAACTCCAGCAGCTGCAGTGCCACACTGCTAAGTTCATGTGCTGAATCAATATCTTAATTTAAGGGTCAGTACTAATGTTCAGGACAGCTGGACACTGCTCTTGATTCCATTTCCACACTAAGCTCTTCACACCTCCATCTTCTATGATATCTTACCAGGCAGGACTGAAAACAGAGTTTTCATGTTTTTATGCACAGTGAAAATAAACCCATGAGACCACAAACCTGTGACCACCTCAGTTGTTTCTGTATTTACCTTCATTATTCTCTAATATTCTTCTCATGCATGGCATCCATATTAATACAATCTGTCCTCCCTCCACGGATGCTTCATCTGATGTTCAGTCATTGATTTTGATATTTGTCCACCTGGAAAGACATCAAAAAAGAGAAACCACTGTACTTCAAGCAGCTGTTTAGTGACCTCATCAGTTCAAGGTTCAGTAAGCCAGGATCGAGTCTAAATAAATTCCAGTTGATTCCATCCTGGCTAGATAATGACACTTCCCAGTTCTCTTCCAGAATATAAAACATGGGGACAGCAAGGATTGACTCTAAATTGTGTGACTGTACATGACAACTTCCTAAGCTTCTGCTCCTTGGACTGCTCCTGCAGATGGATAACTATCTTTATGATTTCAAAGGGCATGACTAGCTGAACAAACTGGGTTTTTTTCCAAGGAAATCCAGTCAGTTTTCTTGCTACTACCTCTCAGATGGATAGTGATTTCTAGTTATGGATCAGGAAAGCATGGCATGCTGCTAGGCACAGAAGGAAATAATAACCAGAGCTCAGATACTTAGGAAATCCACAGCTTCCCAGGGTTTAACAAGGAACATCATCTGTGCTATTTTTACCACTGTGATCCTCAGGTTTTCCCTGCTGAGGATTTCCTTAGATTTGAAAGTTCCTGAACCTTGGCTAATTTCCCCAACCCTTTCCCTAAGGGAGATCTCTTTTACTTTTGCTTTGTGATCTCTTCCCAACTACAGAGTTAGAAACCATCATCCTTTCTGAGCATTGAAAACAGATCTCTGGCAGAAATTACTCTCCTGGAAATTAAGTAATATAATTTGAAAAATAGTACCAGAAGGGTGCATATTGTAGTAGCAACAACTGATTATTGCAAACCCTAAGAACATTTTCTGAATCTCAGTGATTTGGGAAAGTAACCAGCTCATGAAGAAAAGAATTAAAATTCCAGAGAGCTGCATCTGCATCTAGAATGCTTTAGAGAATCAGAAAATGAATGCTCCAGTTACAAATAACCAGGTCTGGGAACAGGGAACTTAGTTACAAAACAATGCTCACTAGTTACGGATAAAAAACTGGATAAAACATAGGGAAATGCCCAAGAGGACACACCGAGCAATGTGTGTTCCTTCCAACAAGCACCTCAGTTCCAGCTGTTCAGGGAATGAGCTGGCTATTCTCTGCTAGCCAAGAAATCAGGCCTTGTGGCACACCAGCAAGATATGGTCAGTCAAATCTCTCCCTCTATTTCTCTCCAGTTGCAGACATCAGGCCAAAATTTTACCCTGCTGCTCTGCATGGTTAAACAGGGAGAGGGCTCCAGCCCAGTGCACTGAAATGTTTTTGAGCCTGTAGCTCATGGACTGCTGCTGGTTCACAAAACAACAGAAGGTGGACTGTGAAATGCTTGCTACATCAGCCCCTGCTCCAAATGCACATTCTCATACACAGAAGCAAAGAAAAAAGCAAAAGTGGGAATAAATAAAGCTAAGAGAATGTTCCAGCTTTCTGCTTAATATTTTCTTTGTTAAAAGCAAATGCTGTGGCAAAGCTGCAATCACAGGAGTTTTCCAGAAGGTAAGCAAGCCCACAGATTGAAAAACAGCTACAAAACCAAGAGAAAGGAGAGGACACTGTTCCCCTTAAAAGATGTCTTGTAGGCCCCTGGGCTTCAGGGCTGTCAAGTCTCTAAAAAAACTGCTTTCTCTTCAGGAAAACAGTAAAGGAAAAAGTGTAGAAGTAACCTTCTCTTGAATTGTGTGCTAGCCTGCGCTCACACAGCCCTGTTTGTGATATGCAGAAGTAGAGCCTGTGCTGTTGCCACTGAAACCCATAAATGTTATTCTCAATTAATTCAGAATCTGGACTTTATAAAATTAATTCGTGTACAAATCAAAAAATATGACTCAAGCACTGATTGAAACTGACAGATTGTTTTTCTCCCTCAGCTCAATCCCTGTAAGAACAAGTTGTTCCAACTAATTTCCTGACAGGCAGGTATCCAGATCACAAACAAAACTCAAAATTAAATTAACACTGGCATTCTCACCAAAAAAATCTCGGTAGAGATCCAAAGAGCAGAGCAAGTTTGCAGGCCATCCCAAATACAGTCCAATATGAATACAGAGTCCCAAAATATGAAAATAGGATATTCAAGGGAAAAAGCAAAATATTTACTATATCTGCCTGTGTGTTCCATACTCCTCTAAAAGCTTCTGGTTCCAAAGCACCACTCACTGCCTTTAGTGGAGCAGCTGGAGGGGGGCTGGTGGTTTTTAGGACTTTCTTTATACTCTCTGGAAGGGATTTTAACTGTGTGTCTGGTCATCAGTTGCTCAGTTTCTGAAAGGAAACCTTTATCCCTGACAAGATCTAAGATCCCTGGATGAAGAGCTGTTTGAAAACTCTTCTTTTCTTCAGAAAACATAAAAAAGAAACATATTTTAATTTTTTCAGTCATTTCTGGTAGGACACTTACCTATTCCTTTTTTATTTCCATCATTCATATTTAATTACAATTAATAAGCAATGTAAGGCAAACAAGGGGAAAACACCTGATGTAACTCACAGATGGGATCATTCAATGCTACTGAAATGTGCAGGAACAGGAAAACTGACATGGGATGAACTCTTGGAGGGCTTTTATGAAAAGGCTGAAGTACTCCTCCTCCTCTCCCCAACACACAGAACCCAAAACACAAGTCAACAGGAGCATCTGTTCTCTACACTCCAGAATGCTGAAATCTGTCACAGGAAGAGCCCAGGGTACTTTAACTGTCAAAATGGCTCTTCTCTGTTATTTATAAAGTAGCACAAGTGAGGATTTTGAAAACAGAGGGTGAGATATATCCCAAACTCTATATTTAGATATATAAGAACATAAACTTCAGGTCATAGATTCAAAACCATCAGAAAGGTTGAATTGGTGGTTTCCAAAGACATATTTAGATGTATAAGATATATGTTTAGATATATAAGAACATAAACTTCAGGTTATAGATTCAAAAACATCAGAAAGGTTGAACTGGTGATTTCCAAAGATGTTGTGCTCATGCAGGAAGTGTTTTCACGCAGGACAGCTGAAGCCTGGACTTTGAAAAGATGCAAATCCTCTACATCTCTAGGAAGAAGATGAACATACAAGGCCAGCAGGTCCCCTTGAAGAAGAGGCCCCTCTGTGTGTTCCTCAGGAGCTCAGCTCCTGTCCTTTTCCTTCCCTGGGCCTCTGCTGATTGCCCAGCAAGCAGGCAGCACCCAGAGGAGGTGAATCCAACCCACACTCAGCACCGTGTTTCCGAGTTGCTGCAGCTTCACACCACTGGAATTCACCAGAAGTGGATTTTTACACTGCCTTCCCCCATTTTATCTGCAGAGGCACAGCAATCTGGCTCTGAAAAGTCCATCAGTGACACTCCCATACTTGTTTGCCTCAACTTCTCTGTTCATTATTTTCATGAAAGCACCGTCCTAGCACTTCGCATCCTTTCAAGGGAGCTGTTAACTTCAGCAGGGAAAACTTCCCACTCTTCAAGTCTACAGGTCCAAAAATCTGTCTACATTTTCTGTTTGCTGCAGATGAAATGCTCTTTGCTGTACCTCAGAACATGGGCAGCGATGGGGAAACGAAGCAAAGCAGTAAACACATTTCCTACCTTCACTGTTATGCAAGGCAACGCTCCTAAATATTCAAGTTCAATACTGAAATGATTTCCTTTTGAATGAAAGTCACTCAAATATATACATATATATATATATGCACACACACACATATAGACATATCAAGGAAGTCATATAGAAAATGTTAGGTAAATTATGTCTCTAGCTTGGTTTGTTGTGTTTGTTGGTTTTGTTTTTTGTTTTTTTTCCCCAGTGGTCACTGATATCTGATGTATTTTCTTTAATTTCCAAACTCCATCAATTAAAAAGAATAAAGCCACATCTTTTTAAGCAGTGGTTGGGCTGGTTTTTGCCTTTATCTTGTTATAACTGGATATATCAAGATAGAAGCCACTGTAATACTGAGAATGTGTGCAGACTTTAAAGAGCCATGTTCTGGGTATGCTGACTGCTGAGGATGTTTAGCACTACACTAGCTGCCTCTTTTTTTGCCTACCATGTCCTACCAGGAAATTCCCTATAAACAGAGATAATGTTGCAGACAAGTTTGTAACAGCTGATGACAAAAAATAAGTCTGTAAAATACCTTGTAATTATCTTTAAGTAAAGAAAAATATACTATACAGCCATAGAATAAACCCTGATTTAATACCAGCAACTGAAATTATGACCAGCTTCAGCAACAGGCGTCTGCCTGCCGTCATCTTCTGTGTGGGATGCAATAAAAAAAGCAATAAATAAAATTACCTCCTCCATTTTAGAGTCTTAGAACTCCAGATTTCAAAAATGTGCTTCCTCACTCCCTGAGAGCAGGAATACAAGGGATTGTATTCCACTGCCATCTTCATGGGCAGATTCTCCTGGCTGTCTTCCCTCTCCCTTGGAGGCACCCTGGCCAACAGGGCCCTTTAGGCAGGGCAGTCCCAAGCCCTGGGCCCTGTCCTCAGTCCCCCACAGGTACAAAAAGGAGACAGGAGAGCAGCCCAGGGTGGTTCTTCAGCTGAAGGAGCTGAAGCTCTTCAACTTCAGGCAGAGAGCACCCATCAAAGCCAGGCTGGATGGGGCTCTGAGCAACCTGCTCTAAAGAAAGGTGCCCTTGAGCACATCAGGTGGATTGAAAAGAGATGGCCTGTAATGTCCCTTCTAACCCAAAGCACTCTGTGATTTTATGATCTGCACCACCTTGGTCATGTTGGCATGATGGAGGAATGATAGAAGCAGTTTCAAGGATGGGATTCTCATTTAATTCTCTGGTTAAGCCATTCTCACTGAATTTCTGGACACTCCAGGTGAGTAAATAGGAATTATTTCCGTGTTACAGTTTGCTTCTACAATTTTGGCTAGTGGTAGACACATCTTTGAATTTGGAGCGTTTTTTTTTTCTAGAAATGTCCAGGGTTGAGCTGGACTGCCACACTTCAAGTACAGGTGTGATTTCTCCAGTGGAAAATGGTGTTTCCCTGATGCCTAAGCGTGCCTGCCACTCTAGAGGAAAAATACCCA